ACTCTCTCTCTCTCTCTCACAGACAAACTCTCTCTCTCTCTCGCTCACTCGCTCTCTCTCTATGACACACACACACACACACACACACACACACACACACACACACACACACACACACACACACACACACACACACACACACACACACACACACACACACACACACTCATTTAAACTGATGTTCCCCTTCAACAGATATGTGTGACGGGTAATCAATGGGACAGTCGATGCGGTTTATTTATCTCCGTTTCCAGTAAGAAGAGACAGTAGAATCCTTGTCAAGTTCCCGGTTGTACGGCAATTAAAAGAGCATACAGATAAATGGGATGCTTAGGACACACTATTGACTGAAGCTGTCAATAACCTGCTTACAGCACAGTTCATCTGAACTGAGACAGACAAATAGAAAGCCACATTGCTTTGTACGAACACTTTTAGTATAGCTATGATAGTGAGGAATCAATTAGCCAACAATATCAGCGTGAAGACATGTTGATGTCCCAGTATGAAAAGCAGGTGAATCCATGATTCTGCTTCAGTTTCAAGGCATGCTGGCTCAAATCACCATTTACCAGAAAACCTGAATGGATCTGAGCCACTGTTAATCTTATTAGTTACACCTGTGCTTTACTTACTTACTTACTGGAAAGGACATTTACTCAAGTACTGTACTGACATATTTGTACTGTAGTATTTTGATTTTTGTTGTTGTTCCAAATGTATTTTTTGGCGCAACAATCCGAGTGCCATTTATTTCCAATATTTTCGAGACATGACAGATATTTTTAAAAAGGCATGATCTCTGACACTCTCCAACTCACAACAAGTCAATCCAAAGAGATAAATGACACTACTGTATGTTTGGGGAAGTTTCCCTTTAAGTTGTTACACACTGGCATGAAGTGTTAGCTGTGGTGTTGTGTTCAAACAAAGTGCAGGTATGTTACCGACATCAGGGTACAGTAGTAGTTACTGTAGTTAAAGAAGTTATCTTTTTCATAGGAATATGTCAAGACCGCTTTAAAAGCTATCAATACACAATCGTTATGATATTTGTTTGACTTACATATCTGTAGAAACCCTCACAAGGTAGCAGAAGCATAGAAGTGTCCACAGGAGGGAATGCAGTGAAGAGTCCCATTTTGTCCAGATGTAAATTATGCTGTATTATAACAAATGACAGGCAGAATGCTGAAAAAAACATTAACATCAAACGCAAGAAAACATCACTTTGTGCCCTGGCCACAATAGTTCCACACCAAGGACATCACTCTTGCATTTTTCACAAACCAGGCATATTTTACAGAGGAAAGATTAAAAGGCCAAAGTAAAAAAAGCCAGGGTGTAAACGGTTCAGTTAATGAAAGCTGGATTTAGCTGCTTACATTTCATGGTCCTGGTGTGGTGCATGCTTTCTCAGTGATACAGTTTTATAAATGGCATTTCTTACAAATACATTGTAAACATTATAGGTAACACCTGTTTTTTTCTGAGCAAACATGAGTGATAAAAAGATAATTGAGGGATTGTTTACCACCATGTAGGCAGTGCCACAACATTATGACCATTAGAAGGCTATTTCAGCTAAACCACACTGTCAGGAAACAATAATATAGTATTTTCCCAAAATGTTTAGGAAAGTCCATGAAAAACTAATGAAAGAACAAAGTAGGGCAGGCCCAAGCTCCATAACTCACTGACTGCATTTTAAAACAGACAGTAAGTTACAGTTCTGCATCAAATTGACTTTCTAAGCAACTTTAACCAAACACCATGCATACTGTACATTATTCGGTTTCTTTCTCCAAATGAGGCTGCAGTTCAAGGACTGTAACAAAATCCTAGCCTGCACATGAGCTACCCAAACAAATTACAACCTGTGTATAGCCTACATTACAAACAAAACAACATACACTCTTGTGGTACATTACTCACCCTTTTCTCCTTTGCAGCAGAATGTGACACCTTTATTTCCAACACGTTTATGCATAGTTTCTAGTTACGCTGAGAGCAAACAAGTGTTTTGTAACTTTTTTTTAAATCAGTGAAGACCTTCTTTTGAGAGTTAAATACTTAATGCTAATGATAATGCTAAGGAGGGCTTGTTAGAGTGTGCGCATGCGCGGCGCACCAAAAACCATAGAAAGTTACATTTAAGCATTTAAATGAGATATATGACATTGATTCATGTATTTTGATTTGTTTTAAGGTAATTAAAACAAAGCTCTACAGTGTGAATCTAAGGGCAGCAAAGTACGAATTAATATTTATATAAAGATATATATTTTTTAATTACCCCAATGTATCAAGCTAATACAATACAAAGATTTAATTAGAATAATTTGGTTCAGAAATGCTGGCGTTAAAGAACATATTGCAGCTTATTTTCGAACAAGCATTTGATTGTAGTGACTCCGTAGTGAAAAACGTATTAAATGAAACTGTTTGAGCTACGAATTTTGACTTCCTGTTTACATTTCGCACATTCCTACGGTGGCCTCGAAGGACATACTTACACTATTTTCAATGTCTAAAAGCCATCACTATCCTATTCAGCAGATGGCGACAACGCCCCAAGCAAGACTGGAAACAGTACGCATATCATTATGTAAAAGTAAATACCAGAGTGTAGGAATACTTTGTCACAAGTAAAAGTCCTGCAATCAAAATGTTAATCAAGTAAAAGTAAAACAAAAGTATTGGCTGTAGAAGAACGCATAATGGAATCAAACTAGCTTTTCATATCTTACACTGCACTGTAACTGTTTTTGTTGTACCTATCATTAGGCCCCACAGTGAGTATCATTGACAGTAAGGTTATCCATATTATTACATGTTATTCTAGGAGTACATCTTACATACAGTATAGAATATGTTGCCCCAATGTACATCTATTGCAAAATCTGATTATCCACATTGATGCCACCTACATTAAAATACAATTCAGGTATCTATATGGCTGCATATTTTGAGTCTAGACTTTCAAAGTGAAAAGCTAATATATTTTGGGGGGTTTATTATCCCTGAAGTAATCATCATGATGCAAATATTGATCAGTGCTCTACGGCATCAACCAAGTCTTATTCTACTTTTTCTGTGTATGTCTCACAGTTATAAGCTGTATATTTTCACTAATATATTATAACGTAAAAACAGGAAAATATTACAACCATTATACATGGAGCAAATGTTCTCTTATCAGCAATTGAATTTGATAAATTGGGTATGTATTCTCTAGAGTTGGACAAAGACACAATGAGACTCAACAGGACTGCGGGAATTTCAAACAACATTTTATTTCCAGTATGTATTTTTTTTAACAAGTCAAAAGTTAGGGCTGCATAGTCATGAAGGGAGCATGAGCAACATGAACACAAACACAGACATACAGCTGGACATCAGGGGAAACCTGGGGATGTGTTGTGTACTTGTTGAATAGACTGTACTGATGTTTGCAAGATAAAGTCACTTGCTGCAAGACGTTGACTTCTATAAAACACTATAATTTCTATACTGTACTATTAGTGAGTTTTTAATTTAATGACAGCCGCTATGTGTACAAAATATGGTTGAAATAGTCAGAACGGCAGAGGGAAAATGTGAAGAGTTCGGTTTAAGCCTGTGCTTTTATTTCAAATGTTGAGCTAGCTAGCCTATGAAATAATCAGTTTCGACACGCAACAAGTCAGACAATGCATCATTGTTTGGCGTTCCTAACTATAATCCTTTGATTCTGAATAGGAAAACAATTGCCAAAAATAAGTAACATGTTGCTCCTATTTCCTTGATCATCCCATTGGATCAGGATAGGAGTCAAGTTACATTTTACGCCGGCATTAAATCCGTTTTTCGATCTCTTTTCTCTGTGTGGAATGTGGGAAGCAGACATCAGACTCTTGGCTTGGCAGTGTGAGTTCCAGCTGCTACAGATACAGAAGTATTACAGAGCAATATCATTCAGCACTTTTAATACAGCGGTAGACGGCAATGCAACATGTTTCAGTAAATTGTAAGTGTACTAAGGGACGTCGAGAGTCATTGTAATATAGTGTACAGCAGACGTGAGACTCTTGGATTGGCAGTATGAGTTTCAGCCGCTCTGGCAGTAAGAGCAATACTAGCTTTAAGGAATCATCGTGGTCAGTCTGTTCCTTTAGTTAGACATGCGACTTTAACACTGAGACTAAAGGTAACTTTTCAATGCTCACAAGGGGAGCAATTTGATAAAGGATTCACGTTTGAACAAATAGTTGCATGTTTCCTTTTCCTACACACTCGTCCCCCATTTTTCTTAAACGCCCAATGGGCACAGGGATTAGAATGATGTATACTAAACAATCCAACTAAAAGCATTATCTAAAAGCATTTAAAATGAGGTTTATGTTTCCTCCACTGTGAAAAGTGTAGTCATTTACATACAAGGAAATCTTAGCCTTATTGACGCAGTGTTTGTTTTCCATTTCAATCTGAAATCATAGAATGCATTATGTTTCATTAGCTTGTATGTGGCAGGCGTTTACCACTGGGTGGCAGTCATTGTGTATTTTCGGTGTGTATTGCACCACTGCAGAGAAGCATCCAACACTGTACAAGGCAGACTCAGTACTGCAGCAATCACTATATAAGCGGTAAACAGACCTCAAGACTCATATAAGGTTCAGATATTAAAGACAGGCAGGTGTACAAATGGGCTCATATGAGAAAAATATTAAAAATCAGCCTTTGCTTTTGGTCGTTTGAGTACATTTCCACAGGGTACTACATCCCATATACCTGAATTTGGTTTTCTGGGAATATTTTGACATGGTTTTACACTTTTTGAGTTGTTTTACTTAAAAAAAAAAAAATACATTCTTACTTCCACATAAAGTCAGAACAAATCTCTATTAATGGGCTTCCCTCTAGAAAACATTAAAAAAAATCAAGTCACAGAAAAACAGGGATCACACAATGGATGTTGTATCCACAAATATACAAGTTATGCATCACATTCCCTACACTAATCCACCTGTTTGTTATGCTATGTCAAAGCATGAGTTAAGAAATTAACACTAACAGACAGACCAACACCACAAAATTGCTTTTCCCTACAGGAAGACTTTGAAGGTACATGTGTACCCTTTTCACAGAGACATATGCACAAGACCTTTTGAGACAAGGATGCAAGTGTGTGGGTGTGTGTGTGTGTCCGTATGTAGTGCTTTCTTATATCCATAACATTCACAGTTTTATATCACATCAAGGACGCTGTATCACTTCTAACACTGAACAGTCACATGTTAGTAGCTAGTACAGTTTTCCAAAGCAGAAACATCTGTCTAATGCACAGTTTGAATCTAATGTCCATGCATTGCACAGTGTAGATACACACATTGGTATAATGAAAGTGTCATGGACAGAAAAAGTTTCAATCAAAGCCAGTCCAGACACCTCTTTAAAGTGCCCTATAACAGGTTATTGCATAATCTGTTGTCTGTCTTATTGCTTCCATTGAAAGCAAGAAGGGAGATGCACTCCAGTTTTAGAGCGCATCAGGCTGATGGAGATTAGAACGAAGAAATAACATCTTCCAGTAAAACTGATCCAACATGTAGTCACACAATGCTGTGGTGAGGTACGAGAGCAACTTGGATTTAGTTTACTTTTGTAAAAAATTATAAAAGAATGACCATTCAGAAGTCACTTCCTGTGTTGTGCACCCACTCTGGATTGTGTTAAAGTGCTGTGTTGTTTGAATACAAGGCCAGTTTACGACACTCAAAGAAGTGGGTCTTATGTGACTAGGTATGTTTTTGTGTAGTGTTCCACTGTTATAGCTATTCAAAGAGGTGACTTCTCGCACTGAGTCGCATAGAGAGAAGCTTCTAGTTCCCAGTCGGCCTCTCAGCACTAAATTGATCCATGTTTGTTTATCACGAGATGAAGAAGAAGTAATGAAGGCTTTGTGAACTTTATCCATATCTCTTCTCTTGAAACAAATTCTCTAAATATTCTACCATTACTATTCGCCACTTCCTCATCTGTTCTCACCAATGCATGTTTTTAGTGCTAAGACACCAGACTTAGTTAAAAGCAAAAAACGAATATAATCTTCAATGCTTAACATTCCTGGATGTAGTCACAGCAAGTAACCAATGAACTGAGCAACACACTTAAAGTCTTGGTGGGATCACAATAAAACGACGAAGAAGAAGAATGAACCACTGGCCTTTTGGGATATTCACACATTCCTTTGATAATAATATATTTATATATTGAATATTACTTTTAGAATTCATTAAAATATAATATTTTTTTGGACAATATTTAACATCTATTCCCTGACAGTCTTTACATTCTTTCAGTGATCTGTGTCAATGCTGTGCTGCCTCCATTACTGAGGCACTATCAATGGACTATTTTTTAGCACAAATACATCTATGTGTAAAGTGTTCTAGGAGCAAGTTTGTGTTTGGAAAGGTAACCACATAAGCGCAGACATACAGAAGTGATTAATTATGCCAATGAACAAAAGTGACATGTTCTTAAGGTTTTCTAGCAGATTGGTTGAATTGTATTAGTCACATTTAAAGATATTGTTCTTATTTTTCTGTAGGTGTTAAATGTATTTCACCCTCTCTTTCCCACAATTACCTGCAGGCAATTATTTTATTACATAGGAGCCACCTTTAGTTAAAAGGGGTCAGAAAAGCAGTGTTGAGAAGTGCTTATTGACGGAGCTTCGGTCAATTAACGTGAATGGTTAAATGGGATCATATAGAGACACACATAAATGTCCATGTACTGTGGTGCTAGACAACATATACATATATGATGTTATATAAAATGCGCACATGCTAAAAATGCATTGGTTATTAGTCAGAAGCAGCATGATTAAGTTCATTCATTTCTATAGGGAGCTGGGTAGTCTAGGGATTGTCTTTGATGAAGGATAGGGTTGGTAGATTTTTTTTTTTTTAAATAATTGTTTTGTGTTTTTTGTCCTCCCACCAGCAGGGGGAGACGAAGCAGAACAGGCACCAGTGTTTCATCTAAAGCAAAACAATACAATCCTTCTCTCACCTAAGAAAGCCCGTTGTCAGAGTTAGCAAGACGTAAAGTTGATCAAAAACATATTTTTGGCTTTAATAAAACAACCACATGTCAAACCTGGACCCAGCTGTAAACATGCAAGGTAAAGTTGAAGCTTGCATTGGCAGTAATTATGACAAAGGACCACAATGTCAACAAATCCTTTAAAAACAACTACTAGCAAACAAACAAATGTAAACAGTGTTTGATTAGTAGCACATTATTTGTACCTAAATGTAAATGTTATTTGATTAAAACCAGAAAATGTTGGCTAACTTCATTATCAAAACTCTGGCTGAGTGGTCCTCTGGTTTTATGTATTCTGTATTCTGTGCTGTTCTTCGGTCGGTCGACGTCATGGCAGTTCATAGATCGTGGCATTTCCTTATGTCATCAAAGTGTGTTTGTTTGGGTCCAAGTTTGACTCTAAATGGAAGAATCTAACAAAACTGTTGGCAGTTGATTATTGACATTTGGAATATGCAATTAAAACTACATCTGAGGATTCTCAAAGTCGTTCCTCAATACATTTTGTAAAAGGGTGAACAGAGTGGTGCAGTGATGACTAATTGTTTTAGTCTGAACTCTAAATTAGCTTCACAAGGGCACCCTCGACTAGAAGCCAATGGGATGTTTAAAATAGACTTTGAAAATATGCACAAAATAAGCTTTGAGGCAAACATGTATGATACGTACAAATATTCTTCAGTGGGATAATCTCCATTTCTAAAGCTGCCTGCACATGAGGCGCCCTTTGTTCTTTGCTCACTGCAGGGTAGGGCGCAGAGTCTTTGGTAGAAAACCGCTAGTTAAATTAATTTCTATGGTTACCTCGCCTGCTAGCGTTACATAGAGCTGTTATCTGATTGGTTGCAGCTGCAAACTAGGCCAAAGTTGAAATAATTAATACTTACATGCCAAATGCGGCTAATGTTCGGCATGATTACTTTTTTTGCAAGTTGTGTGTTTGCTGACTCATTTGATGTTTTTAAACAAAACGTGAACAGCTCATAAGCTTGTGTGAACCCACACAGACTTTATTTCAGGAATCTAACCAAAAACTCATTCAAAGAACAACTGACCCTCCAAGGCAAGGGAGCCCTGATAAGCTAAAATACAGACTCATAATTCCTGCACCTCTCTGTTGGACGCCACTTAAGGCTCTACTGTAGGAAAAGTGTCAGATATTAGAGCATATTTTTGAATCACTTAGGCTGCACACTGTGTAACGAACGGGCTTTCGTGAAGGTGAGAGAAGGATTTAGGGTTTTTGCACATTCCCCCCTCCCCAAATCTCAAGCATGATTTAAAATAGACATTTACATGTTAGCCGCTAGTAAGATAAAACAGTCCACTGAACAGCATTTTCTCTGAGCGTGTACATTTGTCTAACATATATACAAACATACAGACATACTTTGCATTTTGCTCATGCCTTTGGTGTCCCTTTGTTATCTGCTTTGGCTCCTGAATGTCCATTTTCTGTGTTGTCATTCCCTGAGCTCACCAGACACTCTTTGCTGCAGGGGGGAGAGAAACAAAAGGTTAGGTGTACACCCACGGAGGGAGGCAAGAAGAGTGATAACAGCTATTTATATATGTTCTGCAGGGATTTCTACATAGCCGATCCCTTGGAAGCCTAAATAACAATCTTGTGTTGGAGAGGAATTGGAAATCTGTCATTAGGACTTTAATGAAACTGTCATCCAATACTTTAATTGTAAGATTGGAAACACTCATTTAAACCAGAGAGAATGAAGCCTCTGGCCACTCTTATACACGTATCATATTTCATAAAGAGATGTCTGCTATGCAACAAACTATATAATGTGAAAAGACAAAGTTGAGATTCAATATTTCTCTCTTTTTCAGTCAGATAGACATTATTTGTATTTATCATAATCAGAAATACTTTAATACTCCCAGCGGAACATTCGTTTTTGGGACAGTTTTTCCATTTTAGAATGAATAAAGTAGAGGAAAATAAATTACATAAACATACAAATTAACAATGTGCAATAACAAGAAAAATATATGAACATAAAAAAATAAAATAATGTGTTGAATAAATTATTTTGTAAACATAACAAGTCATAATATTTATATTTTATTCCCTGCAGTCAGACAGCAGTCAGACTAAGTAGTGTTATGATATTATCTGCATCAGTGGAAGCAAATGTAACATACACATGAATATATATGTACTGTATATATATGTATATATTGTGTGGTAGTTGCCTGGGGATGTGTGCCTCTTTTGTAAGGAAGAGAGTGCCAACTGTATTTTTGGGGGATATTCACAATTATTGTAATAAAATCCTGGTATCCCATCCCTTGTCTCATTTTGCCCCACTTACAACGACAATTTAAATTTGATGTGAATCTGCATTTTTCATTTCCCTAATCTATATACTGTCTCAGTACTGTGTACCTGCATTGTCAAATCAAGACATTTTGATCCTTTCATCTTAAGTCAAATGATTGAAGGTCATGTTAAACTCCTTAAACTTGCGTTGCCTTTTAAATAAAAATAAAAAAACTAAGCAATTGACTACCTGGGATTATATTTATATTTGGCAAGAAGGCCAATACAGATTATAATCTATACATATGGTGTATTTCTCATCATCTGTCCTCCCGTGTTATTAGCAGAGGTCTACTCACTTCTTCTCATCATCCTTCAGCAGGAAGTTAATCACCAAGGCCTTGATTACCATGCCAAGGATAGACAGGCCAATGACTCCCCCCACCACTGAGACAATGATGGTGGTCAACGTCGTGTCAATCTCCTTCACTGCAGGGAGAAAGAGAGGGGAACACATTATGAGGGAGAAAGAGTCAGATGAGACACCAACAGTGAGACTCTCATAAGCAGGTATAATATAAAGGTGTTATTGTCATATGCTAGCTGTCATTGTTGGTAATGAAAATCTGAAATCTCAGGCTCCTTTAACAGTGCAACATACAATATGCTTAAAGGGGACATATTCTGCTCCTTTCCAGGTTCATATTTGTATGTAGTGTAGACCCTCCAGAAAAACGCGATTCTGCGATCGCAGAATTTACCGCATAATCAGCAAAATGGCGCAGATTTCTAAAAGGCCGCATATTTATCAAAAGGCCGCATAATCCCCGCATTTTTCCACACAAAGTTGAGGGAAAAAAAAGTTAACTCGTCTTGACGTGACGTCATCAGCTCGCGCATCACAGAATGTAAACAACACTGTATAGAGTGAACGTGTGGAGCTCACACGATAGAGAAAACACCAAGATGAAAATATCTAATCCATCTCATTTACCAACGAACATTTCTACTAAAGACCGGGCAAAAAGTGGGGGGAAACTATTCTGCACCCCGTGCAACTGTGTGTTGGAGCATAAGAGAAAATCGACGGTGACGACCCACTTTGATTCATTCAAACATTCGAAAATGCTTTCTGCTGCTGCGGACAAGAAAGCCAAACAACTCACGTTCACGAGGCATCAACCTCCAAAACCCTTTCGAGGGCTACAAGAAACGANCGCATTTTAAAAAAGCAGGTTTTGACTACGCTGCTGACCTGCTTATCAAATTTAAAAGCGCTATTGAAGGTCACTCCAAGGTTCGTGACAGAGGGGAGGATGTTTTTATTGAGGGAGCCCAGAATATCAACCTGGGAGGCTGGAGGTTGGGGTCCAAAAAAGATAACCTCAGTCTTGCTCTCATTGAGGTTGAGGAAATGTTGGCTCAGCCAGGATTTGATCTCTGCTAAGCAGTCCATCAATAGCAGTAATGAGTTGACATTTGAATTGAGTGGCAGATAGATCTGTACATCGTCGGCGTAGCAGTGGAAGGGGATGTTATGTTTTGTGAGAATTGAAGCTAGGGGCAGTATGTACAGTAAAAAAAGGATGGGGCCCAGAATCGAGCCTTGGGGAACCCCACAGGTAAGAGGGGCTTTGGCAGAGGAGAAGGCACCTAGCTGCACTGAGAAGCTATGGATGGCAATTTGCTTCACTTTTTGTCAGAGCAAATCTAAGAGGTTCACACTCTTTTAAGTCCACTTTAAAAACAATAACCAGAAGCCTATTAACATTTCAACAGTTATTGCTATCTGTAATCTTTCGTCTTCTCATACTGGCCTTGAAAGTTCCACTTTCTAATAAGCAGTCAATGCGAGAGAGGGGGGTCATCTTTTTGTGCAAAAATGCAACATCAGCAGTCTGAGTTAGTCAAATCGAGAGGGTATCTTTAGAAGTAATCTTCTATTCAATATAAAATTCCCTCATTACGTTTCCTTTGACAGTGATTCCCAGTTGAGCTGTGTCAACAGGCACAGTGACACAAACCCAAAGCAAAAGACCGCTGTTAAATCTACACGCTTATACTTTAAAAATAAGCGTATTTTGTCTGCTGTGACCGCTTTGCATTGGATTGACTGCATGAAACTAATGGCAGATTTTCTGTCAAGGTATACCTGTTGAGTCACTGACATAATGATGTCACTGGGAGTTCCTCCAGTAGGTGTTTCATGTATCATGAGTTGTATATATATTTGCCTACTACCATGTGATAGCACTTGATTTCATTGGTAATAAAAGCACCTACTGTATTCTCTACTTCTAGTAAGCATAATTCATGATGTGACCTTCCATAAGATGTGCGTTAAACCTGCCGTATACATACTCTTTAGATAATACCATATATCACTCTTACAGCTGAAAGTGTTACGGTTGAGTGAAAGAAGCAGGACCCAAATGCAGATAACTCTGATTAACCTTTATTTCAAGGATAAAAAGAAAATAACTTGGAGAAAAAAACAGAACACTCACCGGTGAACTGATTCACAAACAAAAGACGAACCAACACTGAACACAGGAAGAGACAAGACTAAATACAGGGAGGGGTAATCACAAGACGAGAAACAGCCGGGCAGGGGAGGAGAAACACAAGGGCCACAGGTGAACACAATGAGACAACTAGGCACACCAGGGAAACTAACGACAGGAGGAAAAACACAGGGAAAAGGACCAAACAATATACCAAGAGGAAAACATGACAGGGAGAATAGCAAAACACCCAAAACAAGACATACAAAACGTGACATAACACAATAATCGTAACAGAAAGTGTTACAAGTGAGAGTCTTTGTTCTGTCATTTTTGGCTTTTTAAAGTTTTTGCCAGCAATGTTTAGACAATTAAAGCAATGGAAAAGCTAAATGATCTAACAGATGGGAAAATGTTTCCTGTTAATGGGAAGAAGCGACTAAGGCCCCGGCCACACGAGGACGCATACGGCTAAACGCATAGGATTAACGCAAACGCAATCGCAAAAAAGCTTCCGTCCACANTTTTATTTTTTTTTAAATGTGCTACTTTTGCAGATAAAATTATGTATTCAGTATCTTATTCTATAACAGTATGTCATAATTCTTGAGTTCATCTATATTTTGAATACATAATTTTATCTGCAAAAGTAGCACATTTAAAAAAAAATAAAAGTAATGAGGAAAAAAAACAATGTTTGCTTCCATATTGGAGTGGAAGTAGAATGAAATGGAAATACTCAATTAGTGTACTTCAGTAAATGTGCTTAGTTACTTTCAACCTCTGGAAAACACATGATACATTCGTTAATTTTGTCCAGAAGAGACAGCGTGTATTATATTGATATCGTGTGTGTGTGTGTGTGTGTGTGTGTGTGTGTGTGTGTGTGTGTGTGTGTGTGTGGGTGTGTGTGTGGGTGTGTGTGTGTGTGTGTGTGTGTGTGTGTGTGTGTGTGTGTGTGTGTGTGTGTGTGTGTGTGTGTGTGTGTGTGTGTGTGTAGAGAGAGAGAGAGAGAGAGTGTGTGTGTGTATGTATCTGAGAGAGTGAGTGTGTGTGTCTCTGTGTGTGTGTGTGTGTGTGTGTGTGTGTGTGTGTGTGTGTGTGTGTGTGTGTGTGTGTGTGTGTGTGTGTGTGTGTGTGTGTGTGTGTGTGTGTTGGAATGGCAGCTGCTGTGATCTCAGATTGTTGCTCCGGTGTCTCTCACACACTTGGGGCCTATTTTTAAACGCTGTTCTACACTCAGAGCTGCTCAGGATCACGTTGCACTTGGACATGGTGCAAACTGTTAAAGTACATGTAGGCCTGTGTGTTTTCCGGGACTTACATCTATATTAGAAATTCCCACCACATCTTTCTAACTCTGTAACAAAACATTATAAAACACGGGAATATCTGATATCAAGTTGAGATGAATGGCCACTTGACATTAGAATGGAAATACATGTTACTGTGAATAAGTTATGGATAGTACAATTCTGGATATAAAAAAAAACATATTTCAAATGTTAATAATTACAAAAATATTTACAGTTCCGAAGCCTGCGAACAGTGTTTGAATAAATATAACAAAATTATTTAAAAGAAATGTCTCAATGAAAAAGAAAGAAATACACTTTAATATAAATACGTTATAATTGTCACTAGCATCGTATTTAACTTAGTATTTGGTTAACCTATGAGTATTAGCTTTATCTAATATATATATATATATTCAAGTTGCCTTTGGAAACCAGTTAGATGCACAACAACCTACATAACACACTACAGGAAAGACAGGAGCCCAAGAAGTTCCCATTACAGGGCCTCTTTAACATTTGGTATTGAATCAGGGTCATTTCCCCTATTCAAAAGTGGTGAACAGACCCCAGCTCCCAGTAATTATGTGTTCAGTAAAAACACATTCACGTTCAATGGCTGTCTGGCCAGTGATGCTCGGGAAAAACACAAACTGGATAGAGCTTTGCATCGAGCATTAAAAAGTATTCATAGAAACAATTTTCTATGTCAAGTTGGCGGAAAGTTAAAAAGTAGCCGAAATGACTCAGATTATTCTGGTGTGAATGGTTTTGGTGCTTCCTTTGTTCAGTTTTCTGAATTTGCTCTCTCGTCTTCTCAATCTCACCTCTTTCCTCTCGTCTTTTAACATCCGACAGTTTTACCTCTCCTCTGTCGTCATCTACACTCGTCTCCTCTACTTTCAACACAGGCCATCTAGGTTGTCTCTCTCTTTTTTTACTCTCTTTGAATAGGCTTTATTTATTTATTTGTTTCTATCTTTTTTCCTCAGTGTTTCTGTCCTAGTTGTTTGCAGGATATTCTCCTCAGGGATCACTGAATTAAAGATTAGAGATGAGTGGAGCTTTGTTTGTGTGTTTTTATTTTTGTATGTGGCTGGTTGGTTAAAGAGGCTTTTGCTTTTGGGGATTTTCTCTTTCCTGCAGATTTAGGTTTGTCTGCAAAGGCTAAAATACCTGTGTTCTCTCCAGAGGGAGTTTCTGTCCTAAACACTATTTGTTTACTTCCGTAATATTGACATCACAATATAGCACTTTATAGAGAGGCGAAGCCCCGCCCACTTACTCCCGACCCATGGGACCTTATTTCGGAAAAATTATGTAATGAAGTCAATGGAGAGAGAAAGATTATCTTTCGATCCCGTTTGAATTGTGCCATGAATTACACATATGATGTTTGTTAATTTCAAAAATCATTTCCATGTCAAAAAAGTCACAGTTTGTCGTAAAACAGTTGAAATATAAGACTATGAAAAATACGCAACTAGAAAGACTACAAATCCCAGAGTCCCGGTCCCGCATGCTGGCTCTTAGGAACCGACTAAAACTCCCCTTGTGTGTAAGTACAGCTCTCAACATGCCCAGACTTGGAGTGATTTTCACCTCTTTTAATACTTTTCGCCTCATTCTGAAAGAAAGAAGTGAAATGTGCCAACGTGACGGCCGTCTTGGTGTGTGGTGCGAGACGGGAGATGTAGTTCATTGAGCGGTTTCACA